CCGGGGGGGGGCGGGGGGGGCCCTGCCCCTGGCCAAGGGCGAGCGGCTCATGCGCTGCAAGGTGGGCAGCGTCTACCGCCTGCTCGACCTCTACGGCTGGGCCCAGCTCAGCGACACCTACGTCACGGTGAGGACCCTGTCCCCCTTCCCCGACCTCCTCCCCGCGCTGGCCGGCTTGGATCGCTGCCCGTGGTTCCTGTGGACCCGGTCGGAGCAGTTCCCGTGGTCTTGGCTGATGCGGTTCCTGAGGTCCCAGGGGTTCCGTGCTCTGGACAGTGGGATTTCCCGGGTTCCCGTGGTCCCAGGCTGGCAGGATTCCCGTGGTTCTTGTGCTCCTGGAGCATCACGATCCCTGGGGTTCCCGCACCTCCATCTGGTGCATTTCCTGGTGTTCCCACAGTCCCGGAACAGCACGTTCCCCGTGGTTCTTTTTGTCCCAAACCAGCATGATCCCCATAGTTCCCAGGATTCCTGGGGTTCCCATGGTCCCAGACAGACAGAGTTCCCATGGCTCTTGTGGTCCTTGACCAGCATGGTTCCTGGGGTTCCTGCACCTCCAGTGAGATTCCCAGAGATCCCATGCTCCCAGACCAGGATGGTCCCCATGGTTCCTAGGGTTTCCACTGCTCCAGACTGACATGTTCCCTGTGATTCCCGGGGTTCCCACAGTCCCTGACTGGTGTGGTTCCCATGGTCCTTGTGGTCCTAAACCAGCATGGTTCCTGGTGTTCCCGCAGCTCTGGCTGGCGTGGTTCCTGAGCTTCCCAAGGTCCCAGAGTGGCACTGTAGCAGGTTGTTCCTGGGGTTCCCATGGTCCTGGACTGGGATGATCCCCGTGGTCCCTGGGGTTCCCATGGTCCTGGACCGGGATGATTCCTGGTTGCTCCTGGCGTTCCCATGGTCCTGGACCGGGATGATCCCTGTGGTTCCTATGGTCCTGGAACGGGATGATCCCCGTGGTTCCTGGCTTTCCCATGGTCCTGGACTGGGATGATCCCTGTGGTTCCTATGGTCCTGGACCAGGATGATCCCCGTGGTTCCTGGGGTTCCCATGGTGTTGGACCGGGATGATCCCTGTGGTTCCTATGGTCCTGGAACGGGATGATCCCCGTGGTTCCTGGCTTTCCCATGGTCCTGAACCGGGATGATCCCTGTGGTTCCTATGGTCCTGCACCGGGATGATCCCTGTGGTTCCTGGGGTTCCCATGGTCCTGGACCAGGATGATCCCCGTGGTTCCTATGGTCCTGGACCGGGATGATCCCCGTGGCTCCTGGGGTTCCCATGGTGTTGGACCAGGATGATCCCCGTGGTTCCTATGGTCCTGGACTGGGATGATCCCTGTGGTTCCTGGGGTTCCCACTCCTCCGGCTGCTGCAGCTCCCGGGGTTCCCATGGTCCCAGCCCAGCATGTTCCCCGTGGTCTCCGGGGTCCCTGCACGTCTCCGTGCGGTGGCAGTGGCAGCGGGTCCGTGCCGTGTTCCCCACGTCTCGCACGCCCCCAGCTGCGGGTGAGCAAGGAGCAGGACCATTTCCTCATCAGCCCCAAGGGCCTCTCGTGCAGCGAGGTGACGGCGTCCAGCCTGGTGAGTCCCGACGCTGGGGACCCGG